ATTGTAAAATTATTAAGGATGCCTACAGATTGGTTATTTAAAAAGAATTATATTCATAGAGCTGTAATGTTGGAAACTGCAAGTAAAAATTCCTATAAAAAAAAATTTTTTTTAATGATCCTTTAATAAAGATAGATATTAATACATTTAAATTTATGCAGGTTGCTGCGGTTCCTGGGTTAGTAGGAGGAACTATTCGACATTTGAAATCACTTAGAAAGTTGGAACATGATGGTGGTTGGATTGAACATTTGCTTCATGAGGCTGAAAATGAACGGCAAGTAATTTCTTCTTTAAGCATCTATCTATTTCATTTATTCTATTCTAATATTTATTTTTCTACTAATTAGTATGCATTTAATGACATGGATGCGTATTTCACAACCAAAATTGTGGGAACGTGCATTGATAACTCTTGTTCAAGGTGTTTTTTATAATGCATTTTTTGCTTTGTATCTCCTTAGTCCAAAAACTGCGCATCGAGTAGTCGGATATCTTGAAGAAGAAGCAATCATCAGTTACACTTCATTTCTGAATGGTTTGTTTTCATATTTCGCAACATATTAATATCAACCTATTTTATTTGGTAAATAATGTTTATTAAATTAAATTAAATTTTAGAAATCGATAAAGGTAACATTGAAAATCTTAAAACAGTTCCAGATCTTGCTACTGACTATTGGCATTTAGATCGAGAAAGTGCCACGTTACGTGATGTAGTACTTGCGGTCCGTGCTGATGAGGCTACACATGGGGGGACAAAACATCATTTAGCTGATCGTATCCTTTTAGGAAGGGAGGATTTACGTGAAGATATTAAAAAAGTGTTTGATGAGGAAAAAAGCAACAGAACACGTAAAATGGCTGGAATGAACCAAAATGCTCAAGATAAATGGAAGTGGTAAATAATAATGATAAAAACCCCCATCATTTTTAGTATATATATGAATATAATCTTTTAATAAATCATAGGTAAAAAAAGTAAATGAGAACTTTATTATTAATTAACATATATATGTAGTGCATGTAAACATATATCCATCTTTAATTTTCCCATTTTTGTTCAACTTGCTAATCTTACCATTATCTTCTGATGGTAATAATAAATGTCTCTTTTATAAACATACTATTTGGGTTCATATTTTTTTGCAGTTCAGTAAATAAAGTAAGTTTAGGGTGTGTTCTTTGGTGCCATTGAATATGCCTTTAATATTTGATTAATTAGTTAATGAATTTTTCTTTTTTGCAGCAATATCTGATTTACTGTTCACATACTGTAAACCTTTCCTTTTTTTTTTTTTTTGCTTCTAGACATTTGTCTCCAGCATGTAGTATCAAACTAAATTTTATTTTATTTTTCTCCTCTAAAATAAGATATATAATATTAAAAAAAAGAATGATGCTAAAAAGATTATCTAATTACTTTATCATAGATTAATTGAATTATATCTTTTTAAGTCACATAAAAGTAATCTGCAAATCTGGATCTGGAGATGTGGTCTCTAGAACCAGATCCTAAAAAGCACTGACTATACATGCAGCCCAAATTAATTTGTGAATGTCATAATATTATGACATCTAAGTGATAACTGTAATGCCAAAATCAAAAGTCATACTAAGTCATAATGTCATAATTAGACCATGATGTCATAATAATGTCATAATACAAATGTATTTTTAACTTACCTATAAGCTTACTACAAGGTAGCTTTTTGGTCAATGCTGATTATTTTACGAATTTGAATTAACTTTTGAGCTACACTCATTGATTGCTGCTTATCA